CTTTCATTAAATATATATATGTTCTTGTGCTTCATATATTTTTGTTCTTTAGTATACAAATATACACAGCACTAAAGCTTTTTATCTACTTTGTCATTTTCATTATAAGTTATACAAAATGCAAAACCTTTCTTTTGACTATAACATTTAAACCATCTAAAATAGTAATTAACAAAATAAATACCAACATGAATTTAAACCAATCTTTTTGTATATACTTACTTATCAATATCTTTCTAGAAGTCAAAACTCTGATCTTTAGCCAAAGAATATATAGGTACAGTATTTTCTTCATATTCATACTCTAAATCTGATTTATCTTCCTCAATTACCCTCTCCTTATCATTATAATTCATATAAATATCATTATCAGAAGTCTCATAATTCATGTAAATATTATTATTATCTATGTAAGCATTTATAAAGCTATTGTAATCATAATCAGTATCAAAAGAAGATAAGTCGTTCATAATTAATATTTAGATAATTCAGAAAAAAAAATTGTCTAGAACAAAGAGTGTTTAGAAAGAACAGTAACTAAGTAAGAAAAATATCTAAAAAAAACATATAGAAGTGTAATACGATAAGAAGGTGACTCAAAAAAAAGCTAAAGTAATACAAAGTAAAAAAGTGAAAAGAAAAAGTGACAAAAAGATAACACTATATAAAAGGCAATACACTAGAAAATAATATGATTAGAAAAAGCAGAAATGTGAAAAAGCAATAAAAAAAAAAAGTAATACAAATAGAGAAGATGATAGTATAGTAAAAGTAATATGATATAGGCAATACAGTAAAAGTGATACAATATAAGCAATACAGCAAAATGATATACTAAAAATGATATAACAAAACAAAAACTGAAGTAAGTGCTGCTTAAAAGAAAGAGAAATAAAAAAGTCACAGAAAAATTGACTTTAAAATTAAGATCATATGATACATAGTAAATATTTAATAAACATTGATCATAGTATATAATAAATATTATATTATATAATTATCAATTTATAAAC